GTGTTACATGCTGCCTTTTGTGGTACAATATTAAGACTTATCGGACACTTCCATCCAGACGTGTATGTGGTCCTATGACGTGGTGAATGGACCTTTAAATGAGCTCTTCCCTTACAGGCTCAAGACAAACAAACCACCAAACCTCCCACTCCTTCCATCACAAACAGCCCCTCTCTGACTGACTGGCTAAGCCCTTTATTTCTGAGCAGAGCTAGAGACCCTGTGGCCACAGCGCACTCACACACCGTGCCGTGTGACACCCTGGACTGCCTTCACACCCTCACACCTGTGCATGACGAGCACCTTTGTGAAATGAGTCACACCATGCAGATGGATCTTTGACACGCGTGAACAAGCAACAAGTCCATTTTGCTGTTGTCAAAATGCTTCATGTATGTGACTTTAAAGTATTAGTATTGATATGCGGTCTGTCGATTGACAGAAAATAAATATGCAACTATTTTCAGAAAAAAAATAATATATATATATATCTTCTCAAATGTGAGGATCTGCTGCGAGGTAATTTGAAAACGTCACCGTGGGATTTGTTTTTCATTGTTTTCAGACAACACAACTCAGCAAGAATCCATCGATTAAAGGATAAATACTCAGCACACTAATTTATGAATAACAATTGCTACTTGCAGCTCTGTATTAGGCCTAAATGCAATTGATGGGTATAGATGACAATGTTGCATTCAAATGTTTCTCCCTCAACTAACCTAGAGTAGAGTAGAGGCTAACCGGCAATACATTAGTGCAGCACATCGGATAGATAACATTGTTAATTGGTGTCAATTTATCTGCACTGTGCTTCTCCAGGGTCCAAAACAATTACCAACATTATCCTCTGTCACAGCATCTGTGAGTGACATTAGTGGTAGTAAATACACAGCGATTCACCAGCTTCCTAAGTCAAATAAAGTCCCAGTGACCCTGAACTCATCTAAAAGAAGTCACGTTTCATCCCACAGGAGCGTACATCTCCACACACACTCTGTTTACCTGTGTCGCGTGTTTATCTCCCGCTTTCTAATAAAAAAGTAGACTTAGCTAATAGCCTTTAACGTTAGCTTCAAGGCGGAAAGCTGCACGATGTCAACGCATGCAAGAGACAGATGTCCAGCTGGATTTATGGGCGGTTGAGTAAACACAGTTAGTTGGAGAATAATATATATATTTTTTGGAACAGTATTCACAGACACCGTGCACAATGACAGTCTCTAGATAAACCGTACTATTCTAGAAACAAGCTAAGGTTATGTGAGAACTATTTAAAGCGTTAGCCCCTCCAGAACGTACCATGAAGAGCCTCCAGAAAGTGTAGCAAGTAAACTTGCTTGAAGTTGAAATCGCTCCGGTGGATGCGGTTATATAAGTCGTTCTTCTCTCGGCTTTTACACTCACACAATCCCGTTATTTCAGGGAAACCGGCTGCGGACGTGATGTATACACACACAAGCAGCAAAAGTCTGCGTAAACAGCCCCTCTCGCTCACAGTTTTAAACACTTCACTACTATCTCTCTGCTTTTCTTTACTAGGGGCTTCATTTGGGGGGCGGGGCGTAGAGGGAGGAGGCTGGGACCGTGCGCGAGATGCGCCAGGCTGCGGAGCTTCCCAATGCGGGGCGCACGGTCTCCTCACGAGCCCCTGCACGAGCGGCAGCAGGTCCTTCGGTCACTTCTTCTTCATTGTCATATGACGTACTTTAGTCCAAAGTTTAAGAATGCGCGATAATGTGTTGAAATGTCTCAGCACTCAGTCCCCATCTGCAGTGTAGACACATGTGCAACTCAATACAAAACTTTTAAAAACTGTTATTGTGTAGGGTTGCTAGGTCACTCTTATCAAAAGAGGGCCCTCGGAGTGATCTCTATCTATATGGGGGTCCTTGATGCCAGATTATGGCAATGTCTGGCTGAGCAGTCTTTTTACTAATCATTGCACACTTGCATAACTCAGCTGTGCACTTGAGCACCTATTGCTGCTGAAAGAGGGCTTAAATATCTAGCTTACTGTTGAAAAAAAGATAATGAGAATGTAGGGCGATCCATCTGCATGGAAATGATATCATTCTGGTTAACATTTTAACTAACAAATAGTGGTAGCATCCTGCATTTAATAAAGTGCTTTTACTTGACTAGAGTATTAATACTTTGCACATCACATTTGAAAGGAAATGATAGTACTTTTTACTTTACCACATTGATTTACAGATCAGTTTATAAAATACAATGCATTGCTATAGATTAAAGCAGTGCTGGTTTCCAACGGAATGCCTTGTGGACCAAGATATATATTTACTGTGTATTTTTAATCATGTTTGACCACATAAAAAACAAGGCAAACATTTACAGAACATTGAAACATCAAAATCACCACATTAAAAACCCTGTTAGATTGTTGGATTGATGCGGCGCCAGAGACAAAATCACTAAGGAATGCTGCCGCTTTGAAAAAGCTAAATAAAAGTAACCATTAGTGTATAAAGTTGTTTAAATGAGCGCCACATAAGATTTAGCATTAAAATGAAGTAAAAAACACTGATTGCTGCGCGGATCAAACCCGAAAAAAATAATCAGAAGAGAAATAACACCTTTAACTCCCAGATATCTCTTGGCAGCTGTACCTTATCCATCCATGCAGCAATTATTCTTTTCACAATACATGTCATCAACTGTATAAATATGTATGTATATTTATATGCATATATGGCATTACAATTCAATCAATATTATTCGTTTTGTGCACTTCAAAATGTGTAGTTAGGATAAAGGAAATACTGAAAGTGACCTTTGACCTTTTTGATGATTAGACCATAAGAAACAACACTTGCAGAATTTAAGTGGGTATGCAATTTGACACAAGACAGTCACTGTCATGGCTCACAGCACGCTAATGTTATCAGTAACGCCTGTGCTTTTTCTAATATGACAAGTCGACATGTCTGCTGTTTAAAATACATTTATACACACAGACACGCTCTAGAACTGGGCCTTACCATTTACCATCAAAGGAGTAAGAGCAGTGCAGACTGGGCCATGTCCAGGCTTTGGGTTTCCTAAGCAACATCTGTATGGGCACCACTGGAGATGCTGTGATTAAATACTTAGGTGAATGGAACAATAAACCAGGAAGTTCATATCTTTATTGACATAATCTGTTGCCAATAACAGCCATCTGCAGCTTCTGGAATAGCATTCATTGTCACAGCTCTGTCACTTCTATCCACCTTTCACTCACCTAATTAGTTCATTCAGTGCACCTGCCAGTCACACTCACCTCATCAGCTCATCACTCTCACCTGCTCACTCTGCCTCTTCACTATTTAAACCCCTGCCTCACACACACTCACTGCCAGATCGTTCTTTGCATTCATGCTCAACTTTCCCGCACTCAACTGATTCCCTGTTGCCGACCCTACCTGTCCCGGACTACCTCGCCTTGCCTCTGCCCTGGTAACTTACTCAGCCCTTCTGTCCTTGACCACGAGAAACCTGTCGGATTCTTCCAGAGAATCTTCTGCCTGTCATGTGTTGCAAATAAAGAACTCAAATCATACCAGTCCTGGTGTTGTCGTACTGCTCCTGGGTCCTAACTACACCCGTTACATTCATCAAGAATTATGAATTTTGAATTAGTGGTTTCAAATGCTCGAATGGCGAGTAGATAAAGCAAACCCGACCAATCTGACCATTTGCTGACGACACCACTGTGGTGGGACTCATCTCCAACAATGACAAGACACACTACAGACAGGAGGTCCAACATCTGGCTGAGTGGTGCTCGGACAACAACCTGGTCCTGAACACCACCAAGACCAAAGAAGTCATAGTGGACTTCAGGAGATCCAGGAAGACCACACCCTCTCCACTCTACATAAGTGGGGAGGAGGTGGAGAGGGTGGACAGTATCAAATTCCTGGGGCTCCACATTACTAAAGACCTCACTTGGTCCCTGAACACATCACACCTGGTGAAGAAAGCCCAGCAGAAGTTCTTCTTTCTGAGGAAGCTAAAACAAGCTGGCCTGCCCCCTGCACTTCTGGTTAACTTCTACAGAAGCGTGATCGACAGCATCCTGTGTCAGTGCTTTACTGTGTGGTACGCCAGCTGCACAGCAGAGAACAGGAGGGACCTGGCCCGTGTGGTTAGAACAGCACAGAGGATTGTGGGAGTCACCCTGCCTGACCTGGACACTGTGTATGCTGGCCGTCTCCAGAAGAAGGCCAGAAACATCTGCACAGACATCACTCACCCGGGTCACTCTGTTTGTTCCACTACCATCAGGAAGGAGATACAGGACCATCAAAACCCGGACTAACAGGCTGAGGAACAGCTTCTTCCCCAGAGCGGTTTCCTCCCCACCCAGCTCACACTGGACAGTGCTGAAACAAATATAGTCAATAACACGACACTGTAACCAAGCACATTTGTCACTTTGAAGCCATTGATGCTTGTGCTTTATCTTGTATATATTTATTTAATGTCTTGTTTTTAAATCGTCTTGTCTTAATGTTTTTATACACTTTTTAACTGTTGCTGCTGTACTGATGAGTCGCCAACTCAATTTCGTTGTATGTTCGTACAATGACAATAAACATCCTTATCCTGAAAGTCATGTTTCCATATGGAATGGTTATGGAGGTAATTTGGTTATTTTACTGTTTAGGTTATGTACATGTGGGTTATATAATGTGGGTTATTTTGGGGCGACCGTGGCTTATTGGGTTAAGAGGGTTGTCTGGGAACCGGAAGGTCAACGGTTCGATCCTCGACTGGGATGTGTCACGTGTCAAAGTGTACCTGAGCAATACACTAAACCCCCAGGTGCCTGTCATTGGCAGCCCACCCATCCCTATATACAGGGATGGGTCAAAAAAGACAAATTTCCCACTTAAAGGGATCAATATAGTATAATAAAAAAATTAAATTATAAGGGTTGTGTTTGGCTGCGGAGAGAGGAAAGCACTTGCCTAGGTTACATCACATTCATTTGGCAGATACTTTTGCTCAAAGCAACTTACAATGAATTAATTTAAACTTCCATAATAAGTGCACTCAACCTCCTATAATACATTATTGCTTTTGATTTAAGCCAAATAGGAGTTCAGAGTAACTTTCTTCTCATACGAGGACAGATATTAATACGTATGTAAACACAATAAACATCAATTGCACATCGTGGCTTCTCCCATGTTATATTTTGGGTGGCTTCTAATATTAGGATGTTAAAAAAAATAGCTCTCACAAGATGTTTTTGTCACGCGCTTTCAACTTTCACCACAACCCAAATCACAAGCACTAAACTGTGTGCATAATGATTTCTCCGTGTGAAATCTCTGCAGGAACAAACACTGACTGCATTGCTTTGCTGTGATATCAGACTTCCAGTGAAAAGAACATGCTGCGTGACTGGGTACAACATAAATGTCAGCTTAGTGATTTACCGCTAACGAGATGGCACCTGTAAAAAGAAGGAAGGAAACTTTTGTTGTGGAAAAACACACTCACACACACACACACACTCACACACAGATGCTGCCGCTTCTGAGAGCTGACAAGGAAAACGCTCAAAGGGATCAAATTATTTTACATCTCATACATATGCATGTCTCCGTTAAAGTGTTCCACTTTGTTTATTTGCACTGTGTTAGGGTTGTGAATACAGCTGAGAGGAAAGGGAATAGAAAGCGTAACAGTGCATCAAAGATACACGCAATCTGAGGCATCTTCACGTTCCATTAATGTAACCGCAGTTCTTGAGTTTGTATTGACCCAGTTGATTGCACTAGCTGTCAAGACCAACAATGCTCTGTGAGAGGCATCATGCTGCATTCAGTGCGCATGCCCCCGACTATAGAACGGGGATCGGCTACCTTTTTGATATGAAGAGCCATTTTAAAAATGCGTTCCATATTGACGTTAAGGTTAATAGGATAAGGATAAGGATGTTTATTGTCATTGTAAAAAGCATACAACGAAATTAAGTTGGCGACTCATCAGTCAGTATAGCAGCAGTTAAAAAGTGTATAAAAACATTTAAGACAAGACGATTTAAAACAAGACATTAAATAAATATATACAAGATAAAACAAGATAAGGCACAGGCATCAATGGCTTCAAAGTAAAAAATATGCTTAGTTAAAGTGTCATGTTAATGAATTGTATCACCGCAGCACTGTCTGGTGTGAGCTGGGTGGGGTGGTGGGTGGGGGTGGGGGGGGCGATGGAGGAAACCGCTCCGGGGAAGAAGCTGTTCCTCAGCCTGTTAGTCTGGGTTTTGATAGTCCTGTATCTCCTTCCTGATGGTAGTGGAACAAACAGAGTGACCCAGGTGAGTGATGTCTGTGCAGATGTTTCTGGCCTTCTTCTGGAGACGGCCAGCATACACAGTGTCCAGGTCAGGCAGGGTGACTCCCACAATCCTCTGTGCTGTTCTAACCACACGGGCCAGGTCCCTCCTGTTCTCTGCTGTGCAGCTGGCGTACCACACAGTAAAGCACTGACACAGGATGCTTTCGATCACGCTTCTGTAGAAGTTAACCAGAAGTGCAGGGGGCAGGCCAGCTTGTTTTAGCTTCCTCAGAAGGAAGAACCTCTGCTCTTCCTGGATCTCCTGAAGTCCACTATGACTTCTTTGGTCTTGGTGGTGTTCAGGACCAGGTTGTTGTCCGAGCACCACTCAGCCAGATGTCGGACCTCCTGTTTGTAGTGTGTCTCGTCATTGTTGGAGATGAGTCCCACCACAGTGGTGTCGTCAGCAAACTTCACTATTGTGTTGGAGGAATATGTGGCGGAGCAGTCCTGGGTGAAGAGGGTGAAGAGGGCCGGGCTGAGCAGCCCTGTGGTGCACCAGTGTTCAGGATGGTGGTTGTTGATGTCAGGTTCCCTATCCTGACATTCTGTGGTCTGTTTGAGAGAAAGTCCAGAATCCATGAACAGAGTGATGTAAAAAGTCCAAGGTTTTTGAGTTTATGCACCAGTTTATGGGGGATGATGGTGTTGAAGGCAGAGCTGAAGTCAATGAAGAGCATCCTGACGTATGTGTTAGGGTGCTCCAGGTGAGACAGGGCCGTATGAAGTGTGATGGAGATCGCGTCCTCCGTAGACCTGTTTGCTTGGTATGCAAACTGGTGGCTATCCAGGTCTGCTGGGAGGACGTCCTTGATGTGCGATAGTATCATCCTCTCGAAGCACTTCATGATGACTGGGGTCAGGGCGACTGGGCGGTAGTCGTTGAGGCAGGTGACTGCGGTCTTTTTTGGGACAGGGACAATGGTGGTGGCTTTGAGGCAGGTGGGGACTGCAGCTTGTTGCAGGCAGAGGTTGAAGATGTTAGTGAAAACCGCTGCTAGCTGGTCGGCACAGGTCTTCAGTGTGCGCCCGACTTTGTCTGGTCCCGCTGCCTTCGTGATGTCAATCCTCCTCAGAGCGGACCTCACCTGGTGGTGCTGGAGGAAGAGTGTCTGCTCCTCCTTGGGCTGGATCTTCTCAGCTGTTGCTCCGCTGTACTGTCTGTCAAAACGGGCAAAGAAGCGGTATATGTTTGATTATAACACCACATTGAAATCGAAATCTCCAACAGATCAACTTCATTCCGTTCATACAAGCATTGTGTGTAGCGACATTTTTAAAGGTCCCATATTGTAAAAAGGGAGATTTTCATTTATTTTTTAATTACAAATCAGCTATACAAATATCAAAGTATTTGATATTTCAAAGTATCAACACGCTTTTGCCTTTAAACTAGCTGTCAGAGAGCTGTGATGTCACAGCTGCAAGATATCCAACCATTTCACATTTTTAAATGCAAACTTTCTAAATGTGTCCCAGTTTATTTCTGGTGTGAAAGACATCAGCTGACAGGAAGCAAACACGGACCCAAGGTGTTGCCCAGCAACGCAATTCCATTAAAATGCATCTAAAACCAAGCATGTTCATACAGACGGTATGAGAAAGATACAAGGTTTTTTGTTTAACATTAAAGCATGTAAACATGTTCCAAGTACCTAAAATACAAATATGAACCTGGAAATGAGCAGGATATGTCTCCTTTAAAAAACGTTTTTCACTGCCATCCTTATGAAAATGAAATCATTAACCCTTCCAACCTTCCATCAATCTTGTTTATCAGTAATAAACTGAACAAATTCTGCAAAGAAGGCAAGGAGTAGCCAATCAGAGGCGGAGTAGGGTGGGTATTTGCAGGTGGGAAGAAAAATCAATCAAACTACCGTAACTAACAGGATGTGCAACTGCCAGTGGCTGTGAAAGAGGTAACTTGGTATGCAGGCAAGGGGACACTTCAACACACACTTATTGCTCGTGTGACATTAGTTGGGCTACTGTGGGCTGATGGTCTAGAATAACAAATGACATCAGCATTTGGATGAATTGTAATACAGCCAATAAAGACAGTATAGTTCTAACAATATGTTCACGTTAATGGCACTGTGGTATGGCTATTAGAGTGCGTGCAGTGAATGAGTATACATGTAACAGATCAATTAATCACCATATCAACCATGATGCCTTCAACTGCCGACTCTACTGAAGGCATGATGGAGAGTAGTGAGATCAAACTGTGACCACAGCGTAACTAAAGGATGTTATATCCTGAAATACTATTCTGCTGAGTCAGTATTTTAAAAAGGAAGCGTGGGCAGCACATTCATTTTACAAAGGGCAAAAAAACGAATTTAATCCACAGTAATGAGAAGAATAAAATGTATATAGAATGATATGGTTTAATTTAGAGCACAGTCTGATATTTAAAAAAAGCCATTCAAAGTGCTTTACAGAGTGATGAAACAGTAGAAAGCATAAGCTGCTATACAGGCAGAATAAAATAACGATAGACAAAAAAAAAGAAAGAAAAACATTTAGAATAACTTGTCGTCACTGTGAGAATCCTCTTTTCTTTGTCTCCTCTCCAGCGTCGTCTTCGGGACACTCTAGATATTGTATTTGGGCAGAGAGTGTTATTGGAGGGCTCCTGACTTCAGCTACAGGGAGTTATCAGAGGGCCAGAGCAAAGAGGGATCTGCTACCCTCTCAATGGTGTTACAACTTTACTCCAGCTGTCTCTTGGTATACACCGTGACTTCAAATGTTTCTGTTCTCGCTTTGATTTAAAACACCTATCAAAAGCAGGAGAGATGGGATGATTTTCATTGCTGCACAGCATGTTTTTTTATTTTTCTTCTTTTAAGTTTTATGTCCTGAATCAAAGCAGAAACCCACCTGGATTCTATTCAAATATGGACTGTCCTTTTTTTTATTAATTTAGAAACCAAACCACATGCTACCATATAGGCCACTCCAAACTTCTTGAGCTATTTGAACAGAACTTTTACCAAAAAACATGTGGGGTACATTAAGAATAAACGTAAACAGAAAGCCAGCTAATAACAGATTCATGCTGCCCCTGTCTATTCCAGTTTTTCATAAAAATTTTGAAAATTGTTTGTTGACAATCTCTTTCAGCATCCCTCCCACCTGCTTAATATACTTACCAAAGTGAGTGGAATGTACTCATGTTTAGACTTTGAAGTACCTTAATCTGTATGTTTGAGAGTAGGTAATAATAATTAACAATTCAGCATTTTAAACTTAGAAGAAACCTGAGTAATACAACATTCATTCATTACATACCATGTAATGTCATCATTTAGTAAACACAAGGATGTGGATTCGGTTGCCCTCTTATAGGGTGAAGATCAAGGTAATACCAGTATTTTTTTTAAATCACATAGTACTTGCACTTGAGTAAATGTACTTGGTTAAACGTTGCTTGTTCCCTCACTTGGTGTGAGGAGTTTATATGTATTCATTCAAAAACAAATAGCTGTTGTTACTCCTCACTTTTGAAACATCAGGGGGCAGAGCCCTTTCCTGTATGGCCTCTTCCCTTCTGAACGAGCTTCCTGTCATTGTCAGGCGAACAGACACTGTGTCAGTATTCAAAACTCATTCAGGCAATGTGACAATGTGACTTACCAGCCATGCCTTTCACTTTCTCTCCCTGTGCCACGGTCATGTATTTACTGTGCTGTAGTCTTGTGGACTCAGAGGGGGGGGGGGGGTCCACCACCTAGCCTGCTTCCAAGGTGCACGGAGAAGGGGAAAGTCTGTATTTGAAGTTATGAAGGAAAGAGTACAAAATGTTACAATTGGCCCCGGTCTCCCCAGTCGGTCCATATGACACACTGAACCCTTCACAACAGAGTCTGCACAACCTCCTGTGTTTGCTTTCAGGAGTGAAATAACATTATGTCACATCACAATGAAATGTCTCGTGTCTATGCAAAACTGTAAATATTGTCAGTCAACCACTTTTGGCTCTCAAAAACACAAACCACAACAACATTCCTCAGGCTTCTGCCATCAAACCTCTTTTGCAGGATATAGTTTAAACTCCACATTTTGGCCCATGGCTCCATCTTGTGGCCAAAAGGTGTAAATTATCAAGATTATCATAAATCTGAAGTCCTTTTATTTATGAGCTAAGATATTGGGTGTTTCACAAGTGCAATGTTTTTGCAAGCCTCTTAGATTTATTCGTTTTTTTCTATTGTGGTTATTGTTGGATATTCCCGACATTCCCTGAGCTTTAAAGTTAAAGCAACTTTTTAAAAATTCTGCAATGTGTTGAAAACCGACATTGTAAGCCTAAATGTGCTGAAATTATATGTTTACTTTTAATTCATGGGGAAGCTACAACTTCCAAGAAACCAAATATCAAATTATGATCCAAATGACTTGGAGGGTTTGTTCCAATCAATGTTGTATTCTTCATTGGCTGGATTTACCAATCCTTACCTACTTATTGACATGTTCTGACAATTATTTAACAGTTTGTACGTTCAGTCCAGTGTCCTCACCATCATGGGTGGTTATGTTTTATTTAAGTTATTTTCGATTATGAGCAAAAACCTGAGTCGTGCAGGATTTCCTCCGTATCTCCAGCTCACAGGAAGTAAACGCATGCCTAGTTCGAGTTACCCTGGTAAAGTGCACAACGCCCAATCCTTTTCAATAATGTGAACTCTACATTCAATACCAAGAAAAAGTATTCCTCAAACATTTGTGATTATACATGTCGGTCATGCTCATTGTTACGTTTCGCATTTCCCCTGACTTAACCGTACCAGAAAAAAGCACATGTGAAATGCAGTAATCTTTGAAGCTAGGAGAGGTGTTACACAAGTTGTTTTTACAGCATACAATGTATCATTTTATATAACCTGTAAAAGGGGAACACATTTAAGGCATATTGCACAATAAAAGTAGTAATTTTCCAGGTAGATCTGGGCTGGTAACTTTAAATGTGCTCAGTGAAACCAAGTTTTCCGCTTCTGGGTCAGCACGTGAAGTCACCACTCCGCCCACATCCAGGTCTCCGTTCCCATCGATGCACACGTGTTCTCTCCGCTGTCATTCGGAGAGCCATTCTGCCTGAGAGGCACCCAAACGAGTGACACTGTTTACAGGAGGGTTGGTGACTTTGCACCGATCAGTCAGTATTCCTACCAATCGATAATTCTCCAGGACCCATCCATGACGTCGAGTTGTCATTTTCTTTGGAAAAAGTCAACAAAAATGTTTACCTAATGCTTTAAAAACCCGGGTAGCTTCACATTTGCAGGAAACACAGTGGGTTGCATTTTTTAATTTGTATTGCAAGAAAGAAAATGTGTCGAGCGCCTTTTCCTGCGGAGAAGCAAAGTGCAGCACGTGTAGTTAGTGTGTTGACCAATCAGTTGTAGAGCCTCGTGCAGAGGGGTATAAATGAGAGGCAGTTGCCGTAGAGACGTCTGCAACTGAAGAGTTGAACGCAAGAACCCGTGATATCTCGTAAGGTAATGCTAGCACGATGATGTTATTTTTCACCAAATGCCATGTTGTCCGGACGCGAACTTCTGTCACGGTTGCTGGTGTTAACGTACTACTGTGCAAAACATTTGCTAACGCTGTCATAAGTTGGCAATGAGCCTTTAAGATTAACCAGCCACATCTCAACAGCTAAGCTAACGCTGTTAGCTATGCTAGATGCTAGCGTAAAGTCATTCGTGCCGGCCTTATTGAGGTAGATAAAACAGTCGTACAATTGGTGCAAAAGTGAAAATACTTAGCTGTTGCCAAGATAAATATAATGATAAATAGTATGGTTATAGCCGCTCCGACTGTCAGCTAGCTAGCAAGCAGGTTAATGTGGTCAAAGTCGCCGGGCAATGTTAGCATTTATCAGATATTTCCAGCATTTGTCATTTCTAACGTTAGCTAGCTAACGTGACGGTGCGGGTCACCATTCCGTCCTGTACACAACTCGTCGGACGAAATTTGAATGTACAGATTATTTTTATGCGAAGCGGTAAAAACTCATTGCCCTCTAATTGTTCACGTAAACGTGCTCTCTGCGATGTCGGAGTTGGCTAACGCTAGTTGCTAAAGCTGCCGGTGGGCGTGGTGGTGGCTTCACGTGTTGGCCTGACATTGTCAACAGCGCAGCATGCAGGCACGCTTCAAGACTTTACGTAACTAATACAAATGTAAAACAAACGATAAACCGTTATATTCAGCAAAGCTCGCAGCACTTTCCGCATCTCATTGTGCGACTATTGTAATCATTAACGCTAGCTACAGGGTTTAATAGACTGGTATCTCTATTTAACGGGTTTCTTTTTATGAAGTTATGGTTCACTGTCATATGGTTGGTAACATTACAAGGGCACTGGCAGACCTAAATGCAACACGGTGTGTGTTAATGTGAGGGTTTGATGGGAAGCAGGATACGTTTTTAAAGAAGTACCTGGTTTTCTTCTGACTAGTCTTCCTCATCCTAGTTTGTAATTTAAATGTTATTCCACATTATTAGGTTTGCATTAACATGCAGGACGGCTGTCAGCTGTTGGTAGTTTTGATGACATAATGCAAACAATTAAACCCTATGTGTTTTCAAATGGCCAAACGGAATCGGTGTACTGTGAAATGTGTATAGTTAAATGTTTGCTGTAGAATGTTTCAATTGCCCACAGTACTTTGTTTATGTCTCCTATATCTTTGATGTCACTTGCCACACTTTTACTGTAGGATAGTGTCATCTTAATATGGTTTTGTTTGTAACTTTTTAAGATCTGAAAGAAATGATTTTCATTCTCTAGTATTAATTAATTGTTTTCAATTGACTGATTTATCTTTTGGTCTATGCCCTTCACTGTTAATGTTGTCGGTGTTCCAAATTATGGCAAACAGTCAGGAAATTGATGTTTTCCTTACAGTAATATGAAATGTATAAAAGCAGGAAATAGTTTAATGTTAGAAGCTGGTACCAGTTAACGCATGGCAATTGTACCTAAACTGGTTTATTTGAAATGTTTGAGTACAAGTACTTCTCTATTAGCCAAATAAATTTACAAATTGTTTCAATTGTTGTGTCCAAAACATGTCAGAATCATGCTTTCTGTGTGAAATAATTGAGAACGTCAAATAGCATTTGACTGCCAATATTGCAAGTTAATGACAAACTCATTACCAGATCATTGTGACATCATGACGTGTGACACTGTGAGGGACTCCTTATTTAGTCGCAGACCTGTCACAGGCCCTCATGCACCCAACAAAAGGACAACACTGTGGACTTCACTGGGAATTATTCATGTATGAAAGTATTGTCTTCGTTTGTCCTCTTTTATTTTTAAAGAATAAAATGGAAATAAGAAACAGATCTTGCAATGTAAAATTATTTGGTTTGGGTTTCAGAGGAAAATAATCTGTATGTTTGACAAGACAATGTTTTAAATGTGCAGATTGAGAATCATGGTATTAAAAGTAGTATGAATGGATTTCAGTTGTCAATACAAATCTGTTTGTTTGTTTTTTACCTGTTTGGTTATTTGGATCCTTAACGTTGTTGTGTATCTTGTATTTAAGGTGCTTTTTTTTTAATAAAACAAACCTCAGTTTCCAGAAGGCAGGAGTAAACTTTAACCATGTTTTACCTAATTATATAGCACAGTTTGTTTATAGTACACTCTGTTATTGGTGCATGGTGTATCCTCTGTTAATGATTTAGTGTTTTACCATTTGATAATACTCCTACTTGTTGGAAACATCTATAAATGCTTAGTTTTTGCTGAGCTACGATGCTGAATGGAACACTTCCTGAGAGATGCAGTAGGTGGCAGTATTGCCCATGTTTTGCAGGAAAGATGCTCCTGAGCATCCGCTGTGCTCTTGTGTGAGTGTTGCTGGTTAAATATACGTTGGTGTCATTCTGTGATTCCTCTGGTTTTTCTCAGGGAGCTTCTAAGTGCACAAACCCAATGAAGGCACATCCTGTGTTCAGAGTAAATGAATTGGAGAGTTGTTGGTGTAATCTCCAAAATTCTGTTGTACTTGTTGGTTATTTTACATTACCCCCATGTGAGGGTTTTCTGCCTATATGCCACGATCAAACATCGCTCTGAGTGAATAATTAATAGTGACTTTTAAGTTTCATAGCCAGTCGGCAATATTGAGCATACAGTAATCAATAAGCTATTTTCTCACCATGTCATGTCCGAGAGGTGGTAATGAGTGCAGACATTTTTGTATTTCTCTTTGTGTATATATATGTACATATATGTGATCACATCCGAGCTGCAGGCTCATTGATCCTCATTCTTGTCTCATGTTGAACTGGATTAGGATCAGACTATGTTTTATGACTGAGATCCTGAGCTGCTAAATGAGTTCAACACAGTTTAGCATCAAATGAAACAAAAGGATGTTAGGATTTTAGGACAGTAGCTGAACAAACTTAAAACATATTGATGACTATTTCATGCTTTCGTATGAAAGTTATTGTCAACAAAACCAACGACTGTCTGACTGCCCTACTCTGTCTGTGGTACTTACCCACAATCCAATTTGCTCCCACTGAAAAGCCACAAACAATGCTGGTTGTTAACATAGACAAGCACCATTATTGTTGATTTTGGTCTTTCCATTGGCTTATTTGGCTAACACAATATCCCTAAGGCTACTTTAGCTGCTACTAGCAGAACAAATCCAGTAATGAACTGTCAGCGGCCACATTGCTTTGTGGGTAACGGAGGCACCAGATTGAAGGAGGTCAGATTTAAGGCAGAGTAGGTTTCAGCACTGATGGAGTGTTAATGAGAGACTGATTGACTGAATAACCTTTTTGTTCTTTTACTAAATGTAATCCCAAATGTACATTTTTTTTTTTACTGACGCACTGGAAACTACTCTTCACTCCTTGTCTAGGAAAACGTGTGATGAACACCAAGTTGCAGCAAAGCATACAAGTGCCTGTTTCCCCATTAATGGCCTCTGGACGACACGATGACTGATGTGAAAGTCTGTCCCACTGTCAGCGGGAACCCCCTTCCGCCGGAGGTCGTAAACCCCAAGAGTCCTGGCCGTGTAACCAATCAGCTGCAGTTCCTGGAGAAGGTGGCGATCAAAGCTTTATGGAAGCATAACTTTTCGTGGCCCTTTCGCCAGCCAGTTGATGCAGTGACACTGCGTCTCCCAGTAAGTAATAAGATGGTTACTGCAGCATCATAGTGTGTTAGTGTTTGAACCTAAAGGAGGTCTTGGTGGAAAGGTTCCATCAGAGCTTGGTGTAGTCATGAAAGTGTATTTGTTGTCTTTCAGGATTATTACACAATCATAACAAAGCCTATGGATCTGAGCACTATTCAGAAGCGTCTTCAGAACAAATACTACTGGCAAGCACTTCAGTGCATACAGGACTTCAATACCATGTTCAACAACTGCTATGTGTACAATCGGGTAAGAGCATCCTGTTTGTGGCGCTGTCTATCCCACCAACATGTTGGTACTACGGCATTTCAAACGGCCCAATAATAGACATACCGACATAGCTGTGGGCAAGTTTTGTAATGTTAAAAGTAGGTCTGTGAACTGACCTGAATGCTTTTATTTCATTATAATCTATACCATTTCTTTTAACAGCCTGGAGATGACATTGTTTTTATGGCAAAGACTCTGGAGAAGCTTTTTTTGCAGCAATTGTCCACAATGCCCAAGGACGAGTGTGACATTGCAGCTATCACTGCAAAGGAGCCAGGGAAAGGGAGGAAGACCAATGCGGGTATCTTGCACATTAACAGTCCCTAAAGATGAGCGCATATATATGTGTGTATATGTGTGTATATATATGTGTGTATGTGTATATGTGTGTATATATATGTGTGTGTATGTGTATATATATGTATATACGTGTATATGTGTGTGTATATACGTGTATATGTGTGTATATATATATATATATGTATATACGTGTATATACGTGTATATGTGTGTATATATATGTATATGTATATACGTATATATATATGTGTGTGTATATATGTGTATATATATATGTGTGTGTATATATGTGTATATATATATGTGTATATATATGCGTGTGTATATATGTGTATGTGTATATATATGCATGTGTATATATATGCATGTGTATATATGTATATGCATATATATATGTGTATATATATATATATATATGAATATATGTATATGCATATGTATGTATATGTGCATATGTATGTATATGTGCATATGTATATGCATATGTGTGCATATGTATATGCATATGTGTGCATATGTATATGCATATGTGTGCATATGTAT